GTGGGTTTTTGCTGGAGGAGTCTTCTGTCTTAGGTAAGTTGTCTTTTACCTTCCACCGCCCTTGGTATAGTGATGTGGATGGGTAGTTTGGGATGGAAGTAGTGCCAGTGCTGCCGTGCTTGTGTTGTCGTTGTGTAATTGAGTTCGTGGTTTTGTGGGCTGATGTGGAAGGGGGGGTGGAATGTATGTTTTGTGGGCCGGCATGGAAGGCTCTCCAAGTTTTTTCGGACCTTGTGGGCGGGTTGGGTCGGTGGGTTTTTGCTGGAGGAGTCTTCTGTCTTAGGTAAGTTGTCTTTTACCTTCCACCGCCCTTGGTATAGTGATGTGGATGGGTAGTTTGGGATGAAAGTAGTGCCAGTGCTGCCGTGCTTGTGTTGTCGTTGTGTAATTGAGTTCGTGGTTTTGTGGGCCGATGTGGAAGGCTCTCCAAGGTTTTTTCGGACCTTTGGAGGGTTGGGTCGGTGCCCTTCTTGCGGGAGGAGTCTTCTGTCTTAGGTAAGTTGCCTGTTGCTCTCTATCCCTTTATGGATGGACTATGAAATATTCAAATATATATGTATGTATGCATATGTATATGTGCAAGTGTGCCGCTTCGGGGGCAGACGGTTGTGTGGGCACTTGGTGCTGCCGAACCACACACACAAACGTGGCCAACCTTGAATTTTTTACTATCTTGCCTATCTCTACCTTTTTCTTTTGTTTATGGATGGTTTATGATGATTCACGGAGGAAACGAGAGAGAGAATCTGGGGTTCCCTAAAAAAGCACACACTGTCAGACTTAGAAAACTCAGCAGAATGTGGGAATCTCCGCAAGGCATTCATTCCAGCGGCAAAACTCAGAAGTCAGCTGTGTTCTCAGTCCGTGTTTTGGCAGGTCATTACAATTCGTAATGACTTGCACGATGAAAAGGGACCGGACTGTTCTCTCCCTGAATAGAAAGGAGGCAGGACCAACAGGATCTGTCTCTCTCTTGCAATGAACCTCAAAGTTCATCACACCAAGGAGTGCTCACACCAGCATGCATGTCACACATATTACATTGTCACATATTGCACAAGTAGATGGTGAGTAGTAGACCAGGTAGCGAAGCTCAAATTTCACAACCAGATTATAGTGAGAGAGTCAAGAGTTCAATTATCCAGCGCTCAACAAGAGTATAAGTCTTCTTCGAACAGCAAGAGTCTGGTACCCAGCGCACATCAGCGCTTGCACTCAGTATCAATATCAAGGCCAGACAAGGTAAATCACCACCATAGCTTTCTCTTCCCTCCTGTCTCTCACTTGTCTTAGTGACCCGGGCCTGCCTTTTGGACTTTTGGTCTGACTCCAGACACGACCTCTGGACCGGGACTTGACTGGGCCTGCAAGTTTTGACTATCTGCTGAACCGATGTGTCCCTTACACAGGCTCGAATTTGACTGTTCGTTTAGGACCTGGATGTGACTTTTGCAAAATGACTTTTTATTTTAGTTTGGACGCGACAGCTGACTCGGAGGAACTCGTCTTTTGAAATGCTCATTCGTAACTCCAGGATCTAGCTGGCTGAGCCCCTTTTGAACTTGGGATCTGAATTCGGGGTCTGAATTGTGGAAGCCCTTTCACTCTCTCTTTTCCTTTTCTTTTTCTGTTTATGCCAGCAGTTCATCGGAGGTTCTTTATCCCGACACACATTTTTGCCGCACGCCAACTCCAGCCAAGTGGGCGAAGCGCACAATTTGCCTGGCACTGCCAACCTTCTCCGCCGGGTAGGCCTGAGGCACAATTTTGCGGCGCGTTAACCGCCACATCGGAAACAGAATAGCTGGGGGAGACATGCAGGTGTTTCAAGAGGGAAATGAATGAGGAGATTGAGGAGGAATAACAATTGTGGATTAGGTCCCCTCAGGTGTTGGAAGGCCAAAAAGGCATGGAAATTGTCCTATCATCAAACGACATAGGGCCTCACTGTACTTCTCACCAATTGCACCAAAAAACACAAAATTTTGGCTGTGTATCTTTCCATGTCCTAGCAGGAGATTCATTCTCGTTTTGCACATTTGGTGAGTGGTGCGGCGAGGCCCATATGCGAGGATGTGGCTCCTCGGCAGGCCTAAGGGGCCCTTGGTGCAGATGTGCCCGCCCTAAGTGAAGGTGGGCCTAACAAATCACGAGAGGCCCAATGCTGTCAATTTCGTATTTGGGGTGCAGGCAGTTGTGTCACGTCAGTTGGTTGAGGGAACCCAGGAACCGAGCTGCAAATGTTTTTTTATGGCCTTCCGGGCCTTTTCTGAAATGCAGGCCCTGGGCAAGAATCGCAGCCTCATATGCAGACAGTTGGGAGGCCCAGGAGCTGCAACAGAGGCACAGCCTCCTGGGGCCTACCGGAAGCTTCTGGGCGCTGGCCCAGCCCAGCCAGGCTGCAGGGCAGGTAGACTCTTTCCTATAGGAAAGAGCTCGCTGCCTGGACGGGGATTCGGGCACTTGCAAGCTAGCAGCAGCGCTGCTGGAGCAGAGTCTCGCGGGCTGCTGCTTGCGCTAAGGCAAGGTGCTACGCACGTGCGGTCGTGTACGAGGAAGGGCGCTGCTGAGGGCAGCGCCATAGCCCAGCCTCCATAGCTGGCTGGGGATTGGACTACAGAGAGGCGCAGGGATGGTCTTCGGGTGTACAGAGGGAAGACCCAGTTGGAAGATGAGGAAGAAGACAGGAAGATGATGATGATGTGAGGGCACATACCTGGTATTGGCGATGGTCTGCATTGGACGACATCTTCAAGTACTTCGTTGGCTGCTGATGTCAACAGTTGCATTGTCAATTAGTAGGCAGATAGTAGCTGTGTAGGTAGTAGGCTGGGCGCCGAGCGCCAAGTAGGGAGAAGGGCCTGAATACTTACGTTGGTGGTGGCGAGAGCAAGCTCTCATTGACATTCGGTTTTCAGTGTTATGATTCTCCATTGGTGTTATAGTGGTGCAATGATGCTTTCTGGACATGGTGATACTCTCTGGCTTTCAATGTGATTGTGCAATCTGGATTTTGTCATCTCGCTATTGCTCATTTTCCTTACACGTAGGTGTAAAAGCCTAAAAGGCGAACAATCAAACCAACAATTATGGAATATGGATAAACAGCAGGACTTATCTTATTTGGCAGAGAGTCGCAGAGGACATTTCTGACGACGGATTGATCTGGCTTGTGTGTTTTTTTTTTGTGTTTTTTTTTTTCCCTGGTGGACAGGGATGAGGTGCCAGCAGATGGTTTGCTGATATCTTCAAACCCCCTGACCATGGACGAGTCAGCTATGACAGGAGAGAGTAAGGCGATAACCAAGAACAGTGCTTCTCCTTTTCTCATCTCTGGAACAAAGATTCTTGAGGGAGGAGGTGTTATGCTTGTTGTTGCAGTCGGAATGAACACGGAGAATGGCAAGCTGATGGCACACGCGAGCTCTGGCTGCAAGTTAAACGAGGGGAGTGAGGACACCGGGGAGGAGGACGAGGAGACCACGCCTCTGAAACAGCGCCTCGGTGGTTTTGCAGTCATGATAGGCAAGCTAGGACTGCTGGTTGCGGTGCTGGTTTTCGTCATCAACCTCACACGGTTCCTTATGACTGTCGGCTTCAGCAACTGGGGAATGACGGAGACACTGTACATTTTGGAGTTGTTCTCGATCTGTGTGACGATCGTGGTGGTTGCTGTTCCGGAAGGGCTCCCGCTCGCGTTGACGTTGACTCTGGCCTACGCGATGACGAGAATGGTGCGTGACAAGTCCTTTGCCCGCCACTTGGAGGCATGCGAGACCATGGGCCTCGTCACAGTCATCTGCTCTGACAAGACAGGGACTCTGACAACAAACAGTATGGAGGTGGTAGAAAGTTGTGTAGGGTTTGGAGATCGGAGGAAGCGCGCCGGGTTTGATCAGCAGCAGCCTGACTGCAACAAGCTGCGCGGCATATCGGAAGCGTCACCCACAGGAGTCGTAGATCAGCGACACCTCAGTCGCGTGTGCTCGGTGGATCGTTGTCATGCTGCCGCCGTTGAAATGAAGTCTGGCATCATGACCCCTCTGTTGGAGGGCCTGGTGCTGAATAATTGCAGTAGCGGGGTGGTCCTCAGGGGTGGGCTGCGTCAAGATGACGGAGTCAGCAAGAGCGAGGCAGCCGGAAGACCTGCAAATGGGGTCATTGGAAATCATCAGAGCAACGGTGGGAACGGAGTTGTGTCAGATAACTACGTCAATAAGCAGCTGCCAAGGCTCAGCAGAGACATGTCGCTGAGCTTCACCGCTTACGACAGTGGATTGGGGAACGTGCTCTCCATGCGAAACCCGACAGAGTGGGCGATCTACAAGTACGGCCTTTCTCTTGCTCGCGATCAGCTGGGGGACATCCAGCACATACAGCGCTGCAGTCAGATTCTGAAGGTGGAGCCTTTCAGCTCCACACACAAGAGAATGGGTGTCTTAACCACGCGGCCTAACGGAACGCTCCGTGCGCACTGGAAAGGGGCACCTGAGGTTATACTCACGATGTGCGACAAGGTTGCCGATGCAAATGGCGTCTGCCGGCCGCTTGACGGCTCCACAAAAGCTGATCTGAAATCTCTGGTGAACTCAATGGCAAGCCGATCCCTCCGGACGTTGTGCCTCGCGTACTGTGATGTTGCAGATCCTCGAGGGGATCAACTGGACGCAAATCAGGAATGGGGAGAAGAGGACGCGGCTCCTCCGGTTTTCACAACCAATGGGTTCACCAACGGTCATTCAGAGCATCCAACCCCTCCTCGTACCGTCCCTACATGTGGCCTGACCCTCATTGCATTGCTTGGCCTTCATGATCCACCAAGAGAGGGAGTCAAAGACGCAGTCGAATTGTGCAAAAAGGCTGGGATTAGGCTATGTATGCTGACTGGCGACAGCATGGCGACAGCCAGAGCAATCGCTAACCAATGTGGCATTCTCGACTCATGTCCTGAGCAGGGTGCAAAGGGTTCACACAGCAATCTCTGCGCCTGCTACGATTACGTCATCGAGGGCTCAGAGTTCCATCGGCGGACCGACGTGGCTACCAAGCTCCAGGTAAGGAGCACTCCTTCACCGCCCTACTGGATCTCCCCTGGATCTGTCCTCCAATGCTCCCATGCAATCAATCAATCAATCATAGTAAAAGTATTGCCTGGACGATGTGGACATCATGTCGAAAGCACCTAGCACACACACTCGGTATTCCGTGCTCTTCCCCCTTAGTACTCTTCTACACCATTCCCATGCAGTCAATTGCAATATATTATGTTACTATATGTCTTGTTGTATCATTATATTGTATCAATATGTGATACTAGTACGTGTGCTTGCAATCCAGATGAGATCATTGTTTCCCTCACGTCACAACCTCCCCTTCCCCTCCCCTCCGGCTTTCCCCCCCCCTGCTTCCTCCCGCTTCCCGCCCCTCTACCCCTCCTCCCAAAGGAAAGATAAAGAAGAGAGAAGATAACCCTGGATGCACTATTATCAGGTAGGGTTCACCTGATTATTGGGCTTACCAACTTCACCCCATTGTAAGGTTGTACTATACGCCGTATATGGTGTCGCTGTGTGTTACGGCATGGTGTCTCTGTGTGATGAAGTGATGTCAGGTTGTGAAAGCTTGGCGTCCTCAGTGGTCAATGAACATCTCACGATGGATCACATTTGATTAGGTACATTTTTCTTTGTTATTCTGACATTAAGAGGGGCCATCTCATTTCTCCCTCGACCTCTTCTCCCGGCTCAGTGATGGAAAGTGCACATCCATCCATCCATCCTTTACACACAGATTCACACTCCCCTTAGTTACAGGTTATAAGAGGTTGAGAGTCAGAAGCTCGCCAATTCAACAAGAAGACAAGTCGAACGCGAATAGCAGAATACACGGCATCTCAAAATCCGGAGAATCGCAAGCAAACAATGGAGCAACCGTGGAAATGACGATGTGGTTGTCGCGAAGCTCAAGCATGATGAAACCTCTCTCCCCTGACCGTAGAGGAAGGAAACCTCCTCCTCGGAGATGCTGGCAGTTCTCCCCCGTCCTCCAGCTGGAAACATCCTGCCGCATCATGCTACCTACCACCCTAAAGGTCTTTTTTTTTTCTTTTCTTCTTTTTGACCTACCCCCCTATAGGTCATAATCCTTTTAAACCGCCAGTACATGCGCCCAGCCTTGCTGAAAAGAAAAATCGTCGCCTCCGAAAATTTTGGAAGCCCAGCGCCGTAGATAAATTGAATCGGCAGCGGGCGGCCTTTCGAAAAGGGCCCGCGGGCCTGATAGCTGGATCTACTGGTGGTTTAAGTTTTTTCAAGCAATCGTGGAGCTTTTCTTTGGGACATATCGGTCTCAGTCTGGAACCTCCCTCTTAGTTCCTGGCTACCATTCGGCCCTCAGAAAGCGCTATGGTTGATTTCTCATGGTACGGGGTGGACGGGAAGCCGAGCACTACGGTCTTCACCCGAATAGAACGCCCGGTCATTAACACACTACAATGCGGGCTGGAGGTTACCCCAAATACAGCAATAATGGCCGGGTGTTCTATTCGGGTGACGACGGTAGAGCTGCCGACTGAAAAAAAAAGGGTGTCGAAGAGGTCGTCCTAGGCAACTGGCAGTGCTTCTGGGCCACGGAAAGCCAACGCTGTCTTCACCCGAATAGAACGCCCGATCATTAACACACTGCATGCGGACTGAAAGCTGCCCCAAATACGGCAATAATGGCCGGGTGTTCTACAGTAGCTGGCGCCCAAAAAAAAAAGGGGGTCGAAGATGTCGTCGCAGGCAACTGGCAGTGCTTCTGGTGTATGGAAAGCCAACGCTGCCAATCGCACTACTCTGCAAAAGAGTTGAAAAGACTGAAAATACTGTCTGTTCAAGCTACGTGATGGGACGCTGGACCCGGTTTCCGCTGGACCCTGGTTTCCAGCAGCGGCGATGATTCCCGCCAATAGACAGGAGTCAATGGCAGCAGGTTAGCTATTGGAGGATAGTCTTATCATTGACTTGACTGACCCCAGGTAACTCAACATGATTTGGTTCTGGTCATCTGATTGTATCTGGATATGAACTTGAGTCTGTAATACTCTGTATTTCAACAATTCATGGGTGCACCAACTGAGTTAGGGCGATTGGTGTGAGGATGCTATTATCACCCCCAATACCAACCTGCTTCATTGGGTATGGCGCGGAGTGAGACGTTGGCCTGCTGGGTAGGTATTGTCTTGGGAGGAAGGTATATTATGGAGCATCAGGCTGTCGCCGATCCAGTGGGGAGGAAGGCGTGTACTAAGTATAGTATCAGGGAGCGGCAGATCATGGGGGCGAGTCAGTCTGTCAGTCGAAGAGTCTTTTTACCTAGCTTAAAAAAGAAGGAAAAAAAAAGGAAAAAAAAAAGGAAAAAGGGTCAGGTAGGAAATGACCAAGCAATCCCCTGTGTTATTGCGGGGGTAGTCAACGGTGTGTCACCATGAGCCTTCATCTCACATCAAGTAAGGATGGAAAAAAAAGAAAAAAAAAGAGGATGGGGAAAGGTAAAGGAAACCCTACAGGGCTTCAGGACATGAAGTGGGGGAAGCCGAAGGCCTGGCACCACCCACTCCAAGACACCACACCAAGCCCCTTGCTCCACTTGACAACACTATACATGCATTTGGCTTCTTTCTGGACCCCATGCACTTGGACTCGTCCGAATGCACCGAGTCCAGATAGCGGCAAATGCGTGTACTAGAGTCACTAGAGTGTTGTGTAGTGGAGGGAGGCCCTAATTTTCGTGGACTGGGTTCTGAGACACGAGTTAGAAATCGATGTCTGCAGGCAGCAGATCCCAGACGATATGGGTAAACCCTCGGTTTAGGCTCTCCTTCTGGTCTACTGACTGACACTGCATGCCTCCTGGATGTTTCCGCCGGGCCAGAACCGAGTTCGTTATCCGCATTCGTTCGACGTTTAAACTTCATATTTCAAATCTGCGAATGTGATGCTGACCCGGTTCCCAGCTGGTGAAGCTCCCCACTGATTGAGATTGGGAACATTTACCATTTACAAGGGCTGGCTCTCCTTGAAAAAAGGGGGGGGGAAGGAGGGGAAGAGCTGGCCCTCCGTCTTGCTTCCGGCTCAGAGAGACTTTGCTTTCTAAGCCTTTCTTCGCTTTCCGTGCATGTGTTCTGTTGCATGGCTTTGGATTGAAAACCTCTTACACAGGTTATGGCCCGGTCGACTCCATCCCACAAGCTGGAACTAGTGGAGCATTTACAGAGAATGGGAGAAGTAGTTGCTGTGACAGGAGATGGGACAAATGACGGCCCCGCTCTGCGTGCTGCAGACATCGGGCTGGCCATGGGTAATGGCACTGAAGTTGCCAAAGAAAGCGCAGATGTTATCATTCTGGATGACGACTTCCGCACAATTGTGAAGGTGTGTTCCTACGTCCATTACCCTTCCTAAATCCCCCTCCGT